CCCCTCAGCCAGCGCCCGGATTAACGCTCGTACCGCGTGGGTGCGCTCCGAGCCCGGCCTGCCCGTGCCGTGCCCTGGGTAAGATGGCGAGGCCGCTGCGAGCTGGGCGTGCAGGGACCCGTGCAGGGACCTGCCCCGGCCCCCCCTCCTTCGGGCACTCCCCCAATCCCAGCAAAAACGCCCCCAAACGCCAGCACCCACGGCCCCCGCTCTGCTCTCTCCCTCCCGAGGAACCGAGCATTGGCCCCCCCGGAGGGTATTTCGAAGACAAGGTTGCTGAAATAATCCTGATCCTTTAAAAGCAGCATCACCGGTTGTTTAAAAATACACGCATTGCCACTGTGTCACGGTTTTTAAATGAGCGTTTAGGGCTATTTCTCCAGGAGTCTGCACTTTTTATTTTAAAATATCACTGACTTAAAAATAGTAATCAGAAGCACATGCATTGCCCCCGTGTCACGATTTTTACATGAAAGCCTATGGCTACTCCTCCTGAACTCCACATATTCTATTTTAAAATATTACTATTTACTACTAATAATAACAGACACATTGATTTCCCTCGTGTCACAATTTTTACACGAAAGCCTATTGCTACTCCTCCTGAACTCTGCATTTTTTTTTAGTGTTCGTGAAGAGAAAGGTCGATCCTGGGACTGAGAACTTTCCTCGGGTGCGACGGTGGATTTAATTCCAGCAGCCGGCCCCGCGGCCGGGGCAGAGGGATATCCGGGGATGCACCACAGTAAAACAATCCCGAGGTAGGAGTGGCACAGTCATATTTTATCACTGCGGTTTGTCACCGTGCTCAGTATCACCTGGGGATCGTTCTGGTTATTCCGTTTTGCTGAGCACTGTCTAAAGCAGACAAAAAGACAGAGCCCGGCGAGAAAGGCTGCTCCTGTTGCTGACTTTGCATTCCCTCGAGTCCAATTTGTTCCCCATATATTGAAAGACGCAGAGTTTTTTTGGTTTTTGATTTTTTTTTAACAGATATACAAAAAAAAAAAAAAAAAAACAAAACAAACCCACATATATTTTATATTATATTTTTATACATAAAATCAATGTCAATCAGGATATCTCAGTTCCGGGTTTACCCTTTATTAAACTGCTTTGAGAGGTTCTGCGTGGCCTAGCGCAGAGGGACGGAGTTGCTGCTTCGTGCAGAAAAGAGAAGAAACATTGCGGGGGCGGGGGGGGGGGGGAACCCACAAAAAGAGGTTCCTTCCATTCTTTTCCACGGTGGAAAACCCGAGCAGCAGCCGCGCCGCCGGGAGCCGGCAGTGCCGTGCCGTCCGCCCTGCTCTGGGAGATTTGTTGTTGTTGTTGTTGTTGCATTTTTATTTTCTTTCTTTGCTTTACTGAGCTCTCCACAATGTCCCGGGGTTAGGTAATTCTTTAATTCTTGCCGTTGCTAATTCAAGGTGCGGGCCCGATGCCGCAGCCCTGCCCGGGTCGCTGTTTGTGCCGTGGGCTCCGTGTGGGTCACACACGGCACGGGGAGGCTTTGTCCTTGCCCCGCCTCGAAGCAAACATGCGATGGGTTGGATAAAAATGCCTGGTGGGTGT